TTGTTGTCCATAAAAAAGACCCCTTACATTGGTTCTGTGGTTTCCTCCAAGACCTTTTAGTGCAATCTCCCATCTACTGGCATTTTTACATCAGTATTTTCCTATGCTCATTGCTTGACCGGTACTTGTAAGGGTTATCGTTTACTGACTTTTTGACCGTCCTGGGATACCATGGATTTGTGTGTTGCATGTTTACCTTTTGACTGTATTTTTATCTCAAAATGTTTCATAAACTGTTATTGTCCAATGGTCAGTGGAGAACAGCCCATTGGCTTTAACAGCTTTAAATTGGCGATAAGTGTGCAAATGGCCTCTTACATTGGATGTCCTAGCAACCCCTTAGCAACTACTGGAGGAACTCTAGGAACACTGGTTAAGAAAGTCTGCATAAGATTGTAAGTTCCTTAAAGGAGAACTATGAGGTGAGTGCTTTTCAATCACCTCATAGTTCTAGCCGACCTGTGACAATGAGACTGTCACAGGTCGGCTCAGTAGATCGGGAGGTGAGCAAACACATACCGGGTTCGCTCGCCTCTCGATCCTGTCACGGCTCTCTGCCGTGACAGGGGGAGGGGCTGGATTCCCCTCTCCCCGCTCCGATCTGCCAGCGCTGACTGGCGGAACGGACGGGGAGGGGGCGGGTACAGCTGGCTCTGCCTCTAGATAGGCAGAGCCAGCTGTCACTTACGCAGCTGGGCGGATCCCGTCATCTACGTCGGGATCCGCTCCAGCTGCGGCGTCTCAGTATAGCGCGAGCTGTAGCTCGCGGTATACTGAGCTTAGGGTAACGGGAGGGTGCTAGTTTGTGTCCTCCCGTTACCCTAAGGAGAACTATTGGGAAAAACACTAACCCCATAGTTCTCCTTTAAGTGTATTGAATCTGTTCAGTTCCTTGTTATGCGAAGAAAAAAAAGGAACCAAAAAATAAATATCACGGGCTTGAAATTTTGTCTAAAATAAGCTAACCTTCTGTTCAATACTCTCTCTGACATATGTTGTAGTTAAAGTGACATTAAACCCAGGAGTTAAACCTTAAAAATACATTCAAGTACCTTACCTATTAACAAAAATGTTTCTTATTTCTGTATCACTCGGCTGTAGATCCTCAAATCATCTCTGAATTGGCACTGACAATGTCCTTCCTTCTGGAGGGTGGCTACTTTTGTTCCCCATGGTCCCTGTGTGTTGTAAAGCAGCTATTGCTCCAAGCTCGCTCCCGTGATGGACTACAATCTGACATTCAGTTTACTAATTTGTATCGAGATTCTTGTCCATCACCAGAGCAAGCTTGGAGCGGTGGCTACTTTACAATACACAAAGGGACCGTGGGGAACAAAAGTAGCCACCCTACAGAAGGAAGGACAGTGTCCGCATGAATTCAGAGACGATTTGAGGATCAACAATTGAGTAATACACAAATAAGATACATATTTATTGATAGGGTATTTTAGCCCCTTGCCGTCCGCCCGCTGTAAAATTATGGGTGGACAGCGGATGCTTCCCGGCGGGTGGACGTACATTTATGTGATGTACTTCCTGGTTGCAGGACCCTGCCAGGAATCTAAACAGCCGTTACCGGCTGTTATATACAAGCGTTCGGCCGACGCTACAGGCCGATCGATTGTATTACCATGCCCCCCGTGGTGCCGCACTCCCCCGTCACTGCTAGTTATCCTGCGCTCCGCTGTCCCTCCTGCGAGCCCGGGACCGGCACAGTGACTGCCCTTACTGAGAAGGAGGAGAGATCAGAATTTCCCCCACCGCTGATCTCTCCTCCTTCTCTCTCTAAAGGCGGAAGCGATGTGTAATACATCACGTCCGCCTTTAGCTGTAATTTCTCTGACTGCTATCGCCATTGGGGGCTTTTTAGCCCCCTATGTGATAGCTATCAAGTTAAGTGTAAAAAAAATAAATAAAAGAAGTTAAAAAAATTCAAGTCCCACATAAAAAAAACACCCAAAAAAGTTTGAAGTCCCCCGCCCCCACGTGCATGCGCTTATAAACGTAAATACGCGCCGGGTGCTGCTACGTGAGAAAACAACCATTACGCCACACATGTTACATATCACTGTGAATGTCAGAGTGCGAGCTATAATTGTAGGGCCATCAATCACTAAATTGATGGGCGGTAAAAGCTTTAAAAGCGTTGCCTATGGACAATTTTAGGCATGGTAGTTTTTTGTGATTTCGCGGGCGCACACAATTTTTTTAGGGGCGAGTCTTACTGATGTCACACTTTTTGTCCTGAGACGGGGTTTTAGATTGTTGCCGGCCGGCTGCTGTATTTCTGAACAGTGAGTTTTGTATTGCTTTATTTTAATAAAACTTGAAATACTGCACCATGAAGATTTATATCTGCTTTTTTAATATGAATGAATATCGGAGATAAACGCTGTGGAAGGAGTAAGATATGAGGAGGAAGGACCCGGAGAGCTTTCCCCCTGATTTCCTTAAACGCTGTGAAGACTGCTATTTAGCGGTCAGAGATTGTGGTGAATGCACAATCACTAGGGGGGGGGGGGGGGGGAGAAATGA